TGATTTTGAGGCCCAGCTGCCTCCTCCACCCCACCCCCTCGCCAGGGCTGGAGCTGGTGACAAGGCTCCATCGAAAGCACAGCTGCGGTGGAAGGGGCTGCCCCCTTATGTAACGGGAAGGGACGTGCCGCACTGACCATCCCCTGGCTTGTTCTGCGCGAAGCACCAGGCCTCTCGCCCAGATGGATGCTCCGCTGCTGAGGAAGGGCTTTTGCTCCGGCTCTTGGCAGCAGCGGAGACGCCTTGCCTTGGCGAAAGAGGGCCGGACCTCTGCTCGCGGCAATCCTTTAAGGCCCGGTCCCGTGCAAGTAGACGGCAACTCCCGGTGTGCCTCGATCAGCATGACTGGCCGGGGCCCGCTGGGAGCCGCAAGTCCTTTCCTTAAACGTGCGTGGGATGGCGCCCTTGGCCCGGACAAAAAGCAAACGCTGCCAGGGCTGTTCGGCCCATTTGCCCAGGTCAGTCCCCTGCCCTTGGCCCTGCTCAGTGAAACCTTTTCAACAGGAGGCCTGGCAGTGGGACTCGAGAGCTCCTGCAGCGGAGGCATGTGCAGAGGAGTAAGCTGCCTTCCCCCGCCACCCACCCAGGCGCGATTTGTTTGTGTTCGGGGTGGATGTGAGCTGAAAGTCGTCAGCCTTTGGCACGGCTGGGGACTCTTGCCTTGTCTCCATAAGCAAATCATGTCAACAGCCAGCCTGCTATTTTCCCAGGCACTGCTCCCCAGAGGTCTCTGCACTGCCGGTGACCCGAGACGGGCAGCACGGTGGTGTAGCGGAAACACCGCCTAGAATTGCTTTGCAGTGTAGGCTGGAGAGGGGTGCCCTTGTTTTGAGGCGGTCTCAGAAGCTGTGGCTTGGCCAGAACATCTCACTGCTAGCATGCCTCTTTTGCCACTCAAGCTGCAGTGGGAAAGGGGAGGAATTTCAGTGCGCTGCAAGACTCAGGGCTGCTCTTCTATAAGCCCCTTCCTCCTGCTAGCACGGTCTTCCCCCGCCTGGCTGCGAATCTTGGCAGTTGCGGCCCAGCGAGTGGTGGGTGGATGACTTGTGGGCCCTCATACCTGGGTTATGAGTACATCTGTCACCTGCTTTGCTCTGCTGAGCATACCTGAGGCATCGGCATCGGTCACCTGCGCCAGCGGTGTGCAGGGCAGGATTGGTTTGCTGGGCCTGCAGGCCTTCTGCCTTGCCCGTGCAGGGCGAGTGATGAGTCCTTTGCTTCCACTGGCATGATCAGCCTCAGTAGTCTCATAAAGGTTTGTCTGATCCCTGTCCCCATGATTGAACTTGGTCCTGCTTGGGCTGATTTCCATGAATTGCAAGGATTTGAGTGAGCTGTTGGAAGAACTCTCCTCTGAAGTCAGATCCTCTCTTGTTGCCTATATTCCGCTCTCTGGTGTAAGGAAAATTCTGCAGCTTTAAGAGCCCTGAAAGTGACTTGCCAGGATTACCTTCACTGATAACACTTTAAACGTTTTGCGTTGCATTGCTTTGGTGTACATATTGTCTGTCAAGTGCCTGTCTCCCTGCTTTCCCTCTCCTAATTTTTAGGAGTTTTCCCCCTTCCCTCCTGATTTTTAAGCACAGCGAGACTGTATACAAAGTGCACTATATGTACCTATTTTGCATAATGCTTACTTCAGTATTTGGTGCTCTAGAAAATCTGGAACACCTTGGCAAGAACTGAGGTGGTGCAGAAGAGGAAGAGTTGCTTGGGAAGTGCCAGCCTGCTGTCTAGTTCTTGGAAGCTTTCCGGAAATGATGTCCTGTATGAAACTGAGGGTGTATGTTTACAAAGCATTGAGCAATGTTTACAAAGTACGGAGTACACACAATACTGCACAGAGAATGTTACCAAATCAGAGCCTTCAGAATGATACTTTCCAGCATATCTTCCTCACTCCACCAGCTTCCACACAGAAACGTACCTGTTTCCAGATGACCCTTCTCTGCTTCACATTGCCTAATTACAGCAGCTTCAGCTGAACCCTCCTCTCTTAAAGGGCCAATTGGGATTGTTTCAGATGCACCCCTGCCCAAACGCAATGAGACAATTAGAGCCTGAGAATACCCATTGCTAATTATTGCCTATTTTAGCCATTGTTTTCTGCTCAAGACTTCCTTCCACTAATTGGGCTTGCCAGGAGGGGTGGGAGCTTATCTCAAGAAACTTGGTTACTGTGTTGGGACGCTGAAGCAAGAGCGCTCCCAAACATCACTCCCCTTGAGCACCAGGTTCATCATGTCCCAGAAGAGCGGCATGGTATGAGCCCAGTAATTGGCTTAATGCCTGTTTGTGTGCCCAGCCAGGCTGCCTGGGAAATGAAGTCTCTGCAGTGGTGCTGAGGCTTGACTACTTCTGCCGGTTCAGCAGAGAAGGGGGTGATTCCCGGTTGTATCTTGGGTGAATGGTGTTACTTCTTAAAGTATTTTAGGAGTGCGCTGGAACCAGAGGCTCTTCTGCCTATGTGTAATGGCATTCATGGAATGCATTGCATTTCTTCGATGTGCTATAATGATCAAAAGGCTTAAAATGCATTCTCAGGAATCCTTGTAGTAGCCCTGAAAAGGCCGCCCGTGTTGCTTGTCTCCTTATTGGAGCTCAGATGAAGGTTGGGGCCGAGACTGAGAACACCGTAAGCTACATAAGACAGTCTGGTGACCTGGGGTGGATTTGAATTGAGGATTTCCGAGCTCTCCTGAGCTGTCACATTGCATTAGCTTTCGCAGGGGGTATCCCATAGTGATCAGTTTCACACCAGGACAGGACGCTTTGGGAGCCTGCAATGCGGGTTGCCAAGTTGGCGCCCTCCAGAATTTTTGGACTAGAACTCGGGTAATTCCTGGTCATTGGCCATGTCATGCGAGACTTACTTTATTTTAAACATTTGTGCATTATACAAGTTGTAGTTTCAGAACTCTGGAAGCCACTAGGGTGCTTCTGTATGTGTGCAACCACTAGGGTGCACACATTCAGCATTTTCAGAGTCAAATTGAGTAGGGTCCCAGCATGGGGAGGCAGTCTGGGGCTTGCAACTGTTGCCGCCTCACGTCAGGGGCCCTCACCTGCTACTTCCTGTCAACAAGCCATCTGCATAATTACTGCTTTTGCGGGTGCTGCTTTGTCTCTCTCAACCATACATCTCCTCTCCTTTACTCCTTTCATCACTTGCGTAGCCTCTTTTCAGTATTTGCAATTAGAAGTAACTCTGAGATAATGAAGTCCCGCCAAATGATACCGCGTGAGCTAAACTAAAATATACGTATATAATTCACTTGGAAAGGACTATCAAAACGCAGCTAGTACAGCTGTCTAAAACCAGTGCCAGCAGCCGCTTGAATGGATGGAGCAAGAACTGACACACAGAATGCCTCGAGAGAGGCCAGCATCAGCAGCAAGTGGGATTACGGTAATTCCTCAACTAAGTGTGGAAGGCATTACATAACCATGGGAAAGCACCAGTGTCCACAGCAGCTGGTGTGTTGTACTGGGGCATTGGAAGCGAAGGGATCAAATCCAGGGAGGTGAATTGGCACCGCACGGATCGTTTGCTGCGTGCAGAATGCGGCACACAGCTATTGCAGACCTACTGATTGTCCTCTGGATCTCCATTCCAGCACATGGCTCCAGTTAACCAGTTTCTTCTGAACGTGCCCTGCAGTGCTGAGAAGCAAGTTCAAGCTCCCCCAGCCTCCTGCCCCGCAGAGGTCACGGATTTCCCCTCCCAGTAGCCCCAGCCAGCATGGCTGGTGGTCAAGAATGCAGGGTGTTACCCAGAACACCTGGAGGGTACCAGCTTGAGGACAGCTGGGCTGCGGTTTGGGCAGGGAGATAATGAAATGCTTGCTTTTGGCAGTCTGCAGGGAGGCAGGTCTGTCCCTCGAGGGCTGCCCACTGCAGCTCTGCGAAATCACTGTAATTAGGAGATTCAGCCATCCAAGTGCCACAGCGGAGAAGTTGCAAGACAAACAGCCAAGCAAAAGACAAAAACACAGCCAGAGCTGGTCTGGCAAATAAAGTGTGGACTCACTAGGAGAATTGTCGCAAGAGTCCGTGCATGGTGCAGTCCTGCTGGCTGGGGCACGCGGGGAGTTGTCCTTTTTTCTGCCTGGACTTGAATAGAATTGGACCTTTGGGTTAAAAGCTGCTCACTTACAAGCAATGCTGTCCAAACATTTCCTGAAAAGCCCTCCCCCTCCCCCGGCATCTACCCCAGTTTTGAAATGAGCTTTAATTTTTCATTGTTTGCCTCTAAACAAATATTTTCTACGTCATCATAAGCTTGCCAGTGGAGATTGTAAGATCCTAATAGAATTACATTATAAAAAAACACAAAACATGAAGTATCTAACAGTTATACACACAACAGTGTGATGGCTACCGATATGCCATGTAATTTCCTTGTCTTGGTGTAAATTCATACCCAGATAATCATCACATACGGTGAGATTTTTTTTTGCCCCAGATCATGTATTAAAAGGCATACATTTTATCAGCCTCCTGGCTGGCTTGCTATGAATGTTTAGTGTGGGTCAGTGTAAGGGCCAGATGTCATACATTTAGCCCAAAGTGCGCAATTTCAGGGTTAAATTCCTCTGCCCAAGAAGATCTGTTTTCCATTCCACTGGTATCTTTGCCCACCTGCTCTTGTCTGCCGTGACAAGCATAACTAGCTCCATCGTGGGTTCAGGGAACCTGTGGAGTGGTGCAAGCAGCAGCTGCATTGGAGATCTCATCCTAAAGGGACAGTGATTATCTTTCAGCAAAGACCAAGGACAAAAGAGGCAGACATTCCCGGTTCATAGACTTGTACAATCGTTCATGCAGGGCTACCGCACTGCTTGCTCCTTACCAAGTGCATTTACTGGTTGCATCCAGTTGGCAGGCCTTGGAGAAAAAAATGGACAGAACTTACACATTTAGAATGTTTTCTCTGAAGGCTAGTTATTCAAAATAAATGAATAGAAAATATTTCATGCCTGCTTTTGTTTTTCTTACAGGATTTCTTTCCAGGGACCTACAATCTCCATGATCTCCATGCATAGAGGAAAGGTGAAGATGGTCCAGGTTGAACACCAGGATTTCTGGCAACATGAAGCTTTGAGATTCTTCTTGAAGTCCAGTGAGGCATAAGAAGAGCAGGAGTTATTGTAACCCACCATTATGAGACTATTAAAAGTTTTTTTGTTTTTAATTTACATTTTCCCCTTCCACCCCCTCCTGCCAACTTAGCTTTGCTGATCAACTCAATCTGTGCAGGTACTTCTGGAGTTCCTCTTCCACCAAATCTAAATACTGAAACAAATCTACCACACATTCTGTTCTGCTGCTGCTGCTAAGTACCAGAACTTTGGGACAAGATGAGCATAAGATTTGTCTAGCAGGGAGAATTGCTCTGGGATTGTGAGGCCTACAGCTAAACATGATGTTGAAACCAACTTTTGCCTCTGTTTAGCCTCTGCAGATGGGAACAAAAAGCAGGATGGGATACCTTCCCCTCCTCCGTTCCCTTCCTAAAAGAGCTGTTCACCTGTGGAACTTGGCAGCACAAAATCTGAACATGATTGTTGAAGCGGGAAGCTACTTTAAAAATGACTCTAAACTTAGAAACGGTTTGACAGCTGTGAAAGAGGTTCTCATAGGTCAAGAGCGTGGTGGTGCCTGGAGAGGGTGACCACACGTTGTGCTCTTCACGAAGGTGGCTTCTGTCCCTACCAGAAGTCCACACCGGTAGGTGGCCTGCTTGGTCGCTTGAGTGGTCAGTACCAGAAACATCAAGTTAGCCTCTTTCTCAGCATGGGCTGCTTTTACCTGTTCGATTATTCTAGTCTTCTTGAGGGTTCTCTCGGTAGATCTTACCTGGACCTGTCTCTCTGTACAGGATGGTGCAAGACACAGTCCCCAGGGCTGTGCGCATGCTGGCATCCATACGCGCGTAGTGCGGCCTGTTCCATGTTCGTTCCATTTGAAAAGCTCGCTTGTAGTTCTAAGAATCATTTCTCAACAGCCATTCCATTGACCAGGTAGACCTGACTCTTGCTCACAGTGAGTAGGTCTTTACCCTGACCTTGTCAACAGCTGCTGGGAAAGCTTTTGCCCCTCTGCTTCCCTGCGGCTGGTCTTCATTTGCGCTGACGGTGCTGTTGAAGTAAGCAGTGCTTACTCCTTGTGCTCTACAGACTTAGAACAATGAGGGAGCCTGCAAGGCAGTGCAGCTGGGTCAAGTGTGGAGCGATCCGCCTCACCTATAGGGTGAGCTCTCATTAGCGTTTGCAAGGCTCTGGAGGAGATGCAGTGATGTTTCCTTTGCAGCTCTTGGGAGGTATTTCTCCCCCAGTCATTGGCCTTATCAGGACCCTCTTTTGTCTAATAGACTGCTTGTTTGCATTCGCTTTCTCCCACTCTTCCATGCCTTTCCAGCTTGTGGAGAAGCCACAGTCGGAGCATGATGAAGCCAGCTGCTTCCCTGTTTAAGAAAGTTTTGTGGCTAAGAAAGTTTTGGTTTTGTTTTGTTTTGTTTTGTTTTGTTTTGTTTTGTTTTGTTTTGTGGCTATCCTGGCTGGCCATTTGCAATTCCTCTTGGCCTTGCCTGGATTTTCTAACTACAAGTTTTGCTTATTTTTTTTTCCATGCTGCTCCCCAAAACCTAGCAATTAGAATTTATTTGCTGCAGGTCTAGGGAGAAATTGGAAGAGTTGTTGCAAACCTGAAAAGTCCAGAGAGAAAGGAGTAAAGAGCCCTTATTTCTTAGTACATCCAAAATTAAGGACTGTAAGAATTTAGGAGCAAAGCTGCCTTGTTCTTTTTCAAGACCATAAGCTCTCTGTCTCTTGAACAGCCTTTCATCAATTCCTTTAAACAGTAAAGTATTTGCCTCAAGTGACCAGAAGCCGGGGGGGGGGGCAACAGATGTTGCAGCTCTCGGGAGATGTGACATGCATTACATGTCCAAACTCTCACGACTCTGTTCTCTTCTACTTTTTCCTACTCCACCCAAACACGGGCATTCCTGGAACAGCCATCTTCCAAATGGCAAGAGGTGTTCCTCTTTCAGGGAGTTCATAACAGTTGCATTGTGTTTGCCGCTTTTTGGACTGGCAACACAAAACCATCACGCAACCAAGTGACTTCATCCTAGCGACCCCTTTGGGGCTTCTGTTCCATCTGTCATGACAGTGCAGGAGAAGAGTGAAGCTTGGAGGTGGGTCGCCTTGAATCGGAGGAACCGAGGCGCTTGACGTGACTCGTGTGGCCTTGGGAACCACAGGTGCACATGCAACCCTTGGACTCCTCGGCGACGTGCCAGGCTGCAGAGTTTCCCCTGTGGCATCATCCACCTTAACCAGTCCATATTTTCGACCAGCAGCCACCAGATGAGGCTCTGCATTCTTCCCTTGGGATCCCAGAGCATGAGGGGAGACTTAGAGCGGGTAGCCCTTGCTTTTCACTGCTGCACTTTGGGGTAGCGTGTAGAGGAAGCCGTGAAGATGGGTGCACGACCCCCTCCCTGCAGAAGGCTTTTCAGGCAAACACACGCCCTGGCTTGAATTCACGGCTTCTGTAACGCCGCCACTTTGGTACTGATGCGACTTCAAACACCTCCTCTACTGTTTTGTCCTTGTTGCCGTTAAGACTGTTGTTTTGCAGTGGTAGGTAGACCATAGTGCCTTACGGGGGGGCTCAAAGGGTCCTTCGCAGGGCAGGGTTAGATCAAGAAAGGCCTTTTTCTGCTTTTCGGGGCTGCTCCAACTGTGGTGGTCTCTCTCCTCCCACAGCGACCCACTGAGCTCTTCAGAAATAGCCTCTCCTTATCTTAGTTCTGACCATCCCATAGCACATTTCATTCAGGATGACAACATGAAAGCACTGATTTGTTTGAAGGAACCTTCCCGCAGGTTCCTAAGGAAGAGACCAGCTGCCCCACCCGCTGCTCCAGCATCTGGCTGCCTCATCTTTGGGTTGTGCATGTGAATGTGGTGGTGTGTTGCAAGCAGTCGGAAAAGGTTTCACTTGAGTCTTCTGGGGTCCCAAGAGTCCCAGTACTACAGCCTGCGTTAATAGCACCCCCAGTTACACTCAAAAGAGTCTTCCCCACCCCCACCACCATTCCTATTCCAGTTATCGTGAATGAATTTTGAATGAAAATTGGTAGTTCATTACTGCGAAAAGAATGAAATATTGCTGACCTTTGGTGCACAGGTGTGTTGGTTGGTTGCTTTTTGTTTTGGGGGGTCGGGGGGAGGGGGCTGACTGACGTGACTTTCCTTGGTTGTGGGGATGTTTTTTATATCACACTGTTTACATCGAACAGCGCTGTTTACAGTTGGTGGTGTGGGTTGGAACTTGCCAGACACCTTCTCTTCCTGGTGCAGTCGCTCGTAGGTGGACTGTTAGATGAAATTTGCACCTGGCTTCAGCACATTCCAACACCCTCCGCCAACGCCTCTGCCACCTCCCTTCCCTTGGGTTCTTCGTTTACATTGCAGGGATTGGAGAACCCAGCAACAAAAGGGCAGCGGGGGCATCTCCCGGTGTGCCGCGCGTTCCAGCGAGGCTGGTTCTGCCCCTCGGATCAGCCAGAGCGGGAGCCGGCCCTCCCTGGCGTCTTGAAAACAGTTGAAGGCTCAGGCTGCCTTCTTGGTTTGGCTGCAGGCTCGGAGGCCAGAAGGGAGAAGAGCCCTCGGCGCATCCTGGCGGCACACCAGATGACGAGGAGGTGGCTCTCTCTCCACAGGCTAGTGATTCTCCTGCTCGCCTGCTGGCAGCTTCCTGTTCAGCACAGTTGTCACGAGTCTTGAAACACTTAACTTCCTGGCTTGTACTGTGTGCGCTTCCAGAGCAGGTTGATACTGCCAGGCGAATTGGGACGTGAGAATCCTGGTCCCAGTGGCACTGTCTGAACCAGGTCTGCTCCGGCACTGTCCGTACCACGCTTGCCGGCTGAAGAGCGGGGCTTTTTACCAAGCGCTGCAGCAGCTGGCTGGAATAAGGTGACTGCGATCGGCTTTCCTGGGGTACAGGTGCTTCTGAGGGGCGACTCTCCGTTGCCCTGCACCTGTGCTTGGGAAGACCGGCCTCTGATCATCGTTGCACTGAGTCAAGCCTGACCTGAGGCTTCCAAGGAAGGACGGAAGTGCCTGACCTGGCAGGCACCTGCTGTTTGTTTGGGGCCCTTTAGAGACCAAGGCATGCTCTGGGTGAGCCTTGACTTCCACCTCTATTTGGGCTGCAAGACCACTGCCCCCGAGTAGAGGAGACTGCAGAGAGAGGCTGCCAAGCCGTGCCAGCCCATCTTGAAGCTGAAGCTGCTGGGAAGGCAATCTGTTTCTAGCCCGTGTCTGTTCTCACAGCTCCCATCTCACGGCTGCATTTTCAGCTCCCCCGAAACTTGTGTTGCTCTTCAGTGGAAGAGGCAGAGATGAACTGAAGACTTGAGCTCTCATCTCTCCTCTTCTTCCTGCTACTGCTGCTTTTGTGTTCTAAGGGATGAGGTGCTGCCAATGAGTGGCAGTTGTCTTCCTCTCCCCCTTACACTTCTGTTCCCTCAGGATCCTGCTCTGTGCCTCCCAGGTATCTCCAAACACTGCCAGAGTCTTTCTGTAGAGCAATAATTTTTGTTTTCCAAGCGAGAGAGATTGCAGTCTCCAAATTCCTTGTAATTCGTTTCGTCCCTGCATATATCTAGTCTTGTGCCATTGTCTAGTCTGGGTTTAAGCCGGCTGGGTTGCACTGTGACATAGGTTGAGCCAAGGTGGTGGGTAAAGATCAGGCCACTCCGGGATTCTTTCAACAGAAATGCATCTTTTGGGCAAATGGATCTAAGGGACAAAATAGGTTTTGTCTCCGGACAAGCTGTTGCACCACTACCACTGGGGCTGATAGGTGGCCATCTGCAGGTTTGGGTCTACTTCCCCGTCCCCTGGCAACAAGATTTCTCAGCCACTGCTGGCCTCGGAGGACCTGTCACCGTGTGTCTGCATCACCAGTTTTACTAACGTGAGTCTGATGAAGCTAAGTGATGGCCATCTTAGAACTGGCTTGCTGGCTGTGTGGCACCATTTTGCTGCAGCATGGAGCAGTGCTTGGCTCTTAGTCTTGATCTGAGCATCCTAACACAGCAGCAGATTTAACTGTCTGGAATTAAATGACTTGCAAAAAGTTCCCCAAAGTAGCTGTCTTAGTCACTTTTCTCCGAGACATCAAATCAGGAAATGCCAGTATTTGACCAGCAAGAGGGAAAAGCTAACTTTCCCCTCCTTGTACTTTGGGTACCCCATGTGTCGATGTCATCTTTCCACTGATGTGCTTTCAGAGTTGCAAAATAAGTGGAAGCGGAACAGGAGGCATTGGCATCAAGAAACACGTGCTTACCCACATGGTCAGCCTGTGTTGGGGCTGTATTACTTTGAACTGCAGGTGGGTACACAGGATCGCATTTTCCATTCCAAATCAGTCCCTTCACAAGTTGGTGGGGGGAGACATTCACTTTCTGCCTGGTGTGCTCATTTTCTGTCTAGAGGGAGATGTCTTTGTACACAGGAACACTTACGCACTCCCCACCCGCTTTTGGGAAAATGGAACGACAAAAAACTTAGGGAGACCACCTCAGAGAAAACTGGGTCACAGTCCAGCTTTGCCCCCCCCCCCAAAACCCGTCTCTCCTTTCCTCCACCTTCAGTTGCAATTTGAGCTTGTCTCATGCTTGGTTGGACATAGAATTCATAAACTTTCAAAGCTGAGCGTAACATGAAAAGGCTTAAACCCAGGAAAATTACGTTTCCAATGTTAGTCTTTTAAAAGTAGCTCTTTTTTTCTTTGCACAGAAGCTGGTAATCTAGGACCTGTTTGTGAACAATGTTATGTTTGGGTTTTTTTTTAACTCTTTGGTTTACTTGGGTTGATGTGCGACCTTGTATTTAAGTTCTTTGAACACTGTGGAAATCCTGATTGTGTATGAATGCAGCAGCTTTGTAAATTAAAGGTAACATTTGTGTGAATAAATCTAGTGGATGGGGTTGAAAAGCCATACCCAGTTTTGAAATGAAGTGTCTTTGCCTTTGTGTTCATGAGTTCCTTTATTGTGGCATCCGGCAAAGGGGATCCCGGGGAGCAGCCTGGGGGCTCGGAAGGGGGTTTGGGTCAGTTCCTCTTGGTGAGGAACTTCCAGTCAGAAGGCAGGGATCTTGAAGCCACGATGCCTCAGGACCCTTAATTCTGCCATAGGTGTCTAGCCTGGAGTGGCAGGAGCCAGTAGCAGAGGCCAGCTTTTCTTGAGTATCTGAAGACCCTGCAGTTCCCTTTCCTTTCTCTAGATCTTAACTGGGGTCTCCCAATTACCAGACAGAGAAAAGAAAGGGAACTATAGGGTGCCCAAATAAAACTGAGCGTACTGGCAGAAGATTGCCAGCAACTCTGTCTTCCCGCCTGCAGCCACGTTTCTATATGAGATGTGTGCTCAACTTTGCTCGAAGGAGATTAGCCACAGAGAACGAAGCCTGGCGGAGATGCGGCAGGCTTGCTTCAGCCCGTGGAAAGCTTCTGTTAGAGCTGATCCAGAGCCTGGCTGGTGTGGCGTCCTGGCTCCGAACCAAGTGCCTTTTGGAGGCCCACAAGCAGGGCGTGGTGGTGGTATCCCCCTCCCTCCCTGGTGTCCCACAGCCAGGATTCAGACACGTGTAGAATACCAGCAAGGTGGTAGTACATAACCCATCTGGACTCAGAGCTACCAACAGCATACTCCCCGTGAATAATCTGGATTTGCTGCATGATATGCACCTGTTTACTTACTGGAGAAGACCCTGATGCTGGGAATGATTGACAGCAGAAGGAGAAGGGGGCGACAGAGGATGAGGTGGCTGGATGGAGTCACCGGGGCAGTGGGTGTGGGCTTGGGTGGACTCTGGGGGATGGTGGAGGACAGGAAGGCCTGGAGGAGTGTTGTCCATGGGGTCGCGATGGGTCGGGCACGATTTTGCGACTGAACAACAAACACGCAACTGGTTTGCTTGGCTCTCAGTTTAGGAGGGGCTGGCCCTGCAGCAAGCGTGGGCCAGAGAGGTGGCCGAGTAAGGACTGAGAGTGGCCCCTTCCCTCTCTCTTGGACAAGAAATTAGGCTAAATCGATGATGCAGAATAAAAACTGCAGAATACATTTGGCATAATGAGGGAAACCATGCAAGCTGGGCAGAAATTATTCCTTGCTTTAAAAGAGCTAGCAGGATTCAGCTTTTCACCTGTAGATTACATGCGGGAGGGGAGTATGCTTTTATCAGGGGGGAGGGTGAATTTGCCATACAGGAGTAAGCAATAGCAGTCCAGGGACTCCCACAGTACGCCAAAAGTGAGGTCACTTGGCATAGATTTGCTTCCAAAATCAAATGTTCAAAGAGTTGGACTGCGCTTTGATCGGCAGGAGAGGCAAAGTACACCAGGAAGGTGTTGGGAATTATGGAGAGCTGTGGGCAACTGGTCGCCAGAAGAGATGGGATAAACACTCCCTTTCTGGACTGATGATCTAATAAAAGTCTGCTGAGACCCCCTTGGTCAGCAGTGGAGACAGTACCATGCCTTCTAGGAATCCAACCAAACAAAATGGTTAAGCAGGGCTGCTGCCTGCCACCCTTCCTGCCAGCCTCTGTCGGAAACCAGATGCTGGAGTTTTCTCATGCCTAATCTGGGAGGGCTGCTCTTGGCCTCTGTTATTTTAACTTGGGAGTCTAAAATAGCTGAGATGCTGGGCACAGTGAGCTTACGGATTATCTGTGATTCCTTTGTGGAAATAACAAATTAGGCCAAGGGTCGAATAGACTGTAAGTAGCATCTGATCCAGAGAGGGCACACACATCAAGCAGGAGGTGCCAAGCCAGACTCTCCCGCTAAATTATTCTGGGGTAGTACATACTTGTACATGTTGCATTTATAAGTGCCAGTGCCTTTCTGGATTGCTGTTGGCTTCCCAGCCCTTTCCAAGTTTAGATGAAGTGTGGTTTAACTTCTTTTCAGAGATATTTCTGGCTGCCATTGTTCAAAAAGCCGAACACTGAGTCCATCCCTTGAGTTTGCCTCCAGGGAACCCCTGTAATGCTGTTTCCAACCCCCTTGTACCCGTGCCTTGATTTGCTGAAGATGAAACTCAAATACTTCGGCCACCTAATGAGAAGGAACAACTCACAGGAGATTCATGGCAAAAGGAGAAGGGGACAGCAGAGATTGAGGTGGCTAGATGGGGTCAGTGGGGTGGTGGGTGTGGGCTTGGGTGGACTCCGAGGGATGGTGGAGGACAGGAGAGCCTGGAGGACCGTGGGGTCTTCATGGGTTGGATGTGACTTTGTGACTAAACAGATTCCTCTAGGAGTCTGGAGTGTTGCAGAGCATAAAGATGACCGATCTAGGCTCTTTTTGCAATGCAAAGCATATTTACTTTTGCCAAATTTTGCTTTCTATCTATTGCGGAAGCATCTCTTGGCATTAGTGATAGCCTGGTTACTGACTCTGAAACGGAAGCAAACAAAGGCCCCTTATCCAGACAGAGCCCTGAGCTCATTGCTCAATTCTTATTGCAACAGGAAGGACTAAAAACCTGCTTTTTAAAATGCAGGTATTCGTGCTGAGTATGGAGGAACTGAGTGAGCAATTTAAGCAAGGCTTAACTGACAAGGAATCTGTTTTCCACACGGTGCTTTGAGTTGGTAAAAACAAGCCATGTAAACCGTTTCATTGATACATTATTTTGACTATACGAACAGCTGGTGAGAGTTGGATTCTCTTCCTGGTGCTGCCATTCATCTCTTCCAACAAACACGTGCTTCCAAGTAATTTGTTTGCCTTCTGAAAACCAATCTGGCGAAATTAAACTTGGGGTGGAGTTGCTATCCAGACCAGTACTGCCTGGCCTGGAGTGTTGCCTCCCATGCGCTTGGCTTCAAGGTGGCTGTGTGCAAAGAGAGGACCATGGATTAAAATTGTGCAACAAGGCTTCACGGGGCTTATCAACTGCCTTGGGTCTAATCAAACCCACAACAGAAAGAGATAATTCTCTCATTCTGCCAGAGAACAGACATGACTCGTTTGGCCAGACAGTTGCTCTCCTAGCCTCTGGGATTCCAGCACTCCACCCTGTCCCGAGCTGATGGAGCTTAGTATAAACCGCTAGTATAAACTACTGGCATCTAACCACTTCATTTCTCTCTCCTTGTATATTTTGGATGCGGATTTTAGTTGCTCATGTTCTAGTTGGCAAATCAACTGCCCTTGAATGAAGCAACATGAAAAATATATGTAACCAGAAGTCCAGAGCCAGAGCCTGTTGTTTCTCCAATCAAGCAGCAGTTTCAAAGGGATAAAGTTGCCTTCAGGTGCTGAGCCAATGCTCAGAGTCCATCAGCTCTTCCAGGTGCATCAGTTCCACTTCCCCCCACTGATCTGGGAAGGAATATTAATTCAGTCCTCCTGCACTGCAACCCGGAAATTTGGTCTTGATCATGGCTTGTCGAAAACCAACCTTGGCTGCCCAGGGACAGATCCCTACCCTCTGAAATAAAACGATCCACTCCCTGATCACTGCACTGTAGGATCTAGAAGACAAAGAAACCAATTCTTGTATAAATGCTCAATTGGTGATCCTGGAATAGAAATGGCTGTAATCCCCAGGCAGCTTGTGGAGGGTCAGGTGTGCTCTGTCCAGAGCTGGGACTTAGGCTGCTGTTGAGTCGATGGTAAGAAAAACATGGTGAAAAGCAGAAACCAAGCTAAGAGTGTTCCAGGCAGGCAACTGGAGTTGCAGTGACTCAGAAATTTCACGCCAGTGACCTGGTTTGCATGACACAATAGTCCTATTGATCATGTTACACCTATCAAGCATCTCCCACTTGGGTACTTTTCAGCTCTTCAGCAGAATGTGGGAATGCTGGACAAGAAGACAGAGGATGAGAGAAGTATGATTGGATACCATGGCCAGGAACCAAAGTTCCTTAGACACACACATGTTTGAGGGCTAGAAACCTACTTTTATTGGGGTGTGCCGAATCTGACCATCTGGGCATGCCAAGAATTTAGGTCTCCTTGATGAAATTGGGATGGATGGGATACCCATGCCCAACTGGGATGAACTGGCAGTTGATAGGCAGGTTCCTTGTCCTAGGCCCACCTTCCCCAGCATGGCACCCTCCAGATGCGGGTCCTTCTGCTCCCATCAGCTCCAGCCATTATGTCTGCAAGCTCTTGGGTTTCCATCTACTGCAATAATAGCCTATAAAGGAAGGACTCCAGGGTTTAGGGAGTGGCTGTTCGCTTTTCTCTATCACATCAGAGAGAAATTAGCTTCAAGAAGAAGAAAAAGTGGAGTCTGCAGTTCTTTCCTGCTCAGCCTTTCTTCTTTGGAGAAGTGGGAGCTCTGTTTCCGTTCCTGATGTGGTCGCTTTAGTCTGGCTGGTGGCCTTCCAACTGCTCTGGGGGCAAGACTTGCATGCCAGGGGCCACAGCCTGGCCTTCTTCCTGGTTTCCTGGAAGGGTTTAAAAAAAACAAAAAACAAAAAACAAACTGCAGTGCCTAATTGCATGGCCTTCTCTACCTGCAGTCTGATTACTTGGCTGAGAACTACTTTTAAGTAAGCCAGGAGGAGAATGGAAAGACTGTGGAAGTTGCACTGGGGCAGGAACTGAATTTCATCAACCTCCGTTGCAGAAAGTGGGAGAGAAAAGCCAGGAAGTTGGAAGGAGCCAAATCCAGGAGAAGCACTTGCCCCTACTTCTGACCCCACCCCAAGCACCAAAAGTGCCCGTCCCCCATGGTAGACCAGCTGCAGCTGGTGCCGCTATTCACAAAGCCAGCCTGCGGATTGGGACCATCCCAACCCACAGGGCAGAGCACTGGGTGGGCAAGCAGCCCAGGTTTCCTTAATCTTGGTGGTGGTGGTGCAGCCAGGTCACCTCAGTCCTGTGCCTCTAGGAAGTCATGCCCTGCCAGCACCCAGAGCTCCGGGAGCTAAATTGCCTCCAGCTTGTTAGACTCAAGGTTGCTATCTGGCACTGTTTTCGGACAGG